AAAACGCATTTTTTTTTCTTTTCAATTTGGTTGGATTTCGCCCATACCCCCCCCACCAAAAGTTCATCTTTTTCGTTTTTTTTTTGTGGGGGGGGGTGGGGCAGGGGATGCGCCGCCACGTGGCGCCGCCAGATTTGTGAAACCCCCTCCCCTGCGGCCGCCACGTGTCTGCGAATCCGCGCGTCCGCGCGGACATGTCCGCGGGCTTCGCGGACTGACCGCGGCGGCGGACTTGGCCGCGCCTGTCCGCCGCCGGGGGGGATGCATAGGCAATGGGTCCGGTGTCCCATGAGAATTTGTAACGCCCCTGCAACGTTTCAGCGGGCCATGAATATGGCCTTCGTTGAGTTCGTTAACAAAACCCGACTAACCCAACCCCTGATCAATTTCTACGTGATTGTGTACATGGATGATATTTTGGTCTTTTCAAAAACACATGAGTACCACGTGGAACACATTGAGTGGGTTTTGCATGCACTAAAGGATGCGGGGTTCAAAGTGGACTTGGAAAAAAGCGAGTTCTTCTTGTCGGAGATCTCATTTTTGGGGTACATCGTCACGGTCGATGGACTAAAACCGGATCCGAGGAAGGTGGCAGCAGTTCAAGACGCCCCGGCGCCGGTTACACTCACCCAGGTTCGGGGTTTTGTAGGGCTGGCATCCTATTACCGACGCTTCATCAAGAGGTTCGCCGGTATAGCGAAGCCCTTCACGAACCTGCTGAAGAAAGAGGAACAACTGATCCGGATGCCGGAATGCGAAGCGGCGTTTCAGGCGTTGAAGCGGGCTCTGACATCTGCTCCTGTGTTGGCGCATCCCGACCCGACAAGACCGTTCGCACTGCACACCGACTGGCAGCCTCAAGCGATATCGGCGATGTTGACTCAGCACGGGGCGAACGGAAGGGAACACGTCATTGAGTATGCGTCTAAGACGCTGAGCCCGGCGCAGGCTAATTACGAAGCGTGCAAAGGCGAATGCCTGGCGGTGGTGTGGGGGATCCAACATTTCCGACCGTATCTTTACGACCAGAAATTCATGCTGGTAACGGATCATCAACCGCTACTGTCCCTACGCAACAACACGGACTACACGGGGACGCTGGGCAGGTGGGCGGTGCGTTTGCAAGACTATGACTTTGACATCCGCCACCGTGCCGCGCGGCAACATGGTAACGCCGATGGACTGACGCGCCTCCTGCCGCCCAACAAGTGTCCCGCTAACGAGCGACTCATTCCGTGGAGGCCAGAAGTCGCGGCGACGAAACCACACTACGGGGAGCTACACGTGCTGCGCAAGAACGACGCCTGACTCCGGAATGGAGGTTTCGCCGGAGATGGCGGACGCTATCTCTTTGCCCTCATCCAACTCCCTCGCTCTCTCGTCTAGTCCCTACTCGTCCCCTGAAACACATCTAAGTCCCTGTTTCTTCTGTACCTTACCTATGGTCTCGGACAAAGAAGGGTCACATCCGGGAGGGCCCAGTTTTCTTTTATGGGTACAGTGTAGTCAGTGTCATACGGTCAAATCTCACGGACAGTGCGTTAGGTACCGAAGTGAAAAGACATGGGTCTGTCCCAACTGTAGAACGGACCAAGTGCCTAACGAGAAGCGGTATCTGGACGCCAGAACAGCCGACGGATTTGCGCCAAGTACCCGCCGGGCAGAAGTCTGGATGGACCTTCTGTTGCTACGGAGGCTGTCAGGCGACTCGCTGTCAGAACTTATGAAAGTCGAGCGGCAGAGAGTCACGGAGCGGGCGCAGGAGTATCGCTGGCAGGGACCGACGTTACAAAAACAAAAGGTCGATGATGACGGAGGGTCTAGCTGGTTGACGGTTCTACACCCTCTCGCTAAGTTCGATTGGACAGGAGCCGCTCATGAAGAGGATGCGGTCCATTTCGCGGTCAAGTACACGGAAAAAGCCATCGAAAAGAACGGATGGTACTGGTCGAGAATTCGGGAAGATGTGAAATACACCGTCCAGAATTATCCGGCCTGCGCGGCGGACAAGGCGCCGGTACAGATGCCTCGGACGATGGTGCCCACTCGTGTAGAGCGCCCCTTTCAGAGGGTTAGCATCGACACGACGGATATCAACGTTCCGAGAGGTCCCGTCGATCAGGGAGAGCTCAATGTTCTTTTAGTGGCCGTCGATCATTTTTCGAAATGGATCGAGGCGTACCCCATGAGCAGCCGGAATTCGCAGGAGGTAGCCTTGTACGTAAATCGATTTTTGTGCATGCATCTAGACGTAGAAGAGGTACACATGGACAATGGGTCGGAATTTCAAGGCGAACCTTAAGATTATCTACTCGCCGGGGCATTGGCCCCAAGCCAACGGCCTGGTAGAGAATGCCAACCGACTGATTAAGACCGCCCTTAGACGGAATATCACGGCGGGAGACACCCGGCCCTAGCCTGTCATTGTCGACCACATCTTGGCCGTTTATCGGGCTACCGCACACGGTAGTACTGGGGTGTCCCCCTTTCAACTGAGAACCAATAGTGTCCCTCGGGTGCAGTTGTCCCCCTTGGTAGGTACGGAAGTTAGAGCAACACGGGCCCAGCACAGAGATAAGGCCCGCCACTATATGGACTTAATGGCTAAGGCCTATCCCCCGTTAGCGCGCCGACGACAGAGGGCCATAGATCGGAGACATCAACGGCAGATCCGCGACTACGAAAATCAACATGCTTCCGCGGGACCACTGCCTCGCTATAAAATAGGGGACTTGGTGCAGGTACGGAAATCCGCGCGCTCCTCCAAAATCCACCCACACTACACAAGAATTTACGAGGTGACGGAAGCTGGCGCACGCGGCCAGAACTCCATGAAGCTGGTTCCCAGGCACAACTCGCAGGGCCGCCCGCTGACAAGGCACGCTGCTGCCATCCGGCCTTTTCGGCCATCGATAGATCTCGTGCGGCCACCTGTCCTGCCCGAATCACCTTCTTCGTCCCTCTCTCGTGCTCCTTCGTCCTCGCCTCCTTCTTCCCCTTCTCTCCGATCAGCGTCGTCGGCATCCGCGGAAGACCTTGCCTCGCAGGATGAATCATCGCCAACATGAGCATGAACTTCTCGAGCACTTCCAGCCGCCAATCTCGGATGCTCTTCTCCGGAATCGGTTCAACGACGATCGGCAGCTGCGCTTCGACATTCAGCAAGTGAACGTGTCGGCTCCTAGCGTTGCTGACTTGGCGGTGTACTCGCTCCTCGCGCAGCGGGTAACGTACGCGGGCGTCTATGTGGACATATCGCCCGTGCCTGGTCAGGAATCCACGCAAGTGTTCATCGAGTTCCGAGCCATCCAGGTGGCTACGAACTTTGTGCACAACATCGCTACTTTCACCGGGGACTTAACCGTATTGCCCGGGCACGATCGGGAGTCAGCGTATAGGTTCTTGCGCGATTACGCCCTCCATATGGCGAGATCGGTGGCGCGAGTGCAGGCAAGGGGCACTCATCGCTTCACCGCATACGAAGGACTTCTGCGGCGGACTCCAGAGGGAGCACTTGCATTGGTGCCACATCTTCCCGCGCTCCTTCCTCCTGCCGAGCCCCTCAACATCCGAGCTGTCCCCCCCCCTTCTCTCTAAATGCCTGCCTTCTTCTCTTACACTACCCTCCCTTACCAACTGACGCAGCTCCCCTATCCTATGCGCAACTTCCCCGAGTACCTGGTGGAGCTGACGGACGTGGAGCAGTTGCCGCCCGCTGACGAGGACGCATGGGAGCTGCATCGGGCACTTTATTCGTCGGTGGTGCTGGGCATGTTTACATTTTTCATGGAGCACGAAGTTCATAACGTCGGCGAGCTCCTCTACGTATGCTACGTGATCGCCAAGCCGAAGCCGGAGCGGAAGGAGGGAACAATGGCGCTTTACCCTTTTGGGAGAATCGGAACGAATCGCCTGGGGCTCGTACAACTCATTCACATCGAGTTGCTGTCCATCGCGCAAGTAATCGCCGCGGAAGAAGAAGACTTGCAGCTCAGACTGCGGACCGCCTCAGCCCCGTGCAGATTGTATAACGCGGCGATGATACCTGACTAACTGGCGCGTGAGGGGGAGTCCGTGGTGGACTTCGGGCACGAAGATAAGCCGGTGCGGCCTCCATCATCGTATCCAAAGCCGGCGGCCCTGAACGCACCAAGAAAGAGAACCGTCCCGAAGAGGCGACGAAGTCCATCGCCGGAAGCTCAGGCCAGTCGAGTGGGGTCTGTCGAGGAGGTTGTCCAGCCTGCGCTGGTGCGCGAAGTCGATGCGGTTCGCGAGAGAAGAACCACACTCATCATCGGGCCCCGACTGGGGGAGGACTGCCCCGCCGAAGAACCGCGGAGATCCACAGGCCATCGGGAGTCGACACCTCAGCGGCCCCGCCTCCCCGATCTCAATAGCCATGCAGCCGGGCCATCAGGCGCAGGGGGGGGATTGGGACGAGTTCCATATCCCGCATCCAGACCCCCCCTCCTTGCAGGACCATTCCGATTTCACCAGCCCACCCGGGATACCCCGGTCATTGACATTAGCATTTCCCCCGAGCCGAACGGTCCATCAAACCGACGTGGATCACATGGTGGAACTAGCCACCATCCGGCTTGAGGCCATCGAGGGGGCGCCGCGTCCTGATCCGGCATGGGAGGCGTTCTTGCAGCCTCCATTCGACGGATGTATAGCGGCGAGGTTGGTGGGCACGTTCATCTACGAGACTGCTGGGCGGCCCAACATTATGTACCATATCCTGGTCTTCGCGGCGGTTAAGCGGGAGCAGAGGGCATACACGGAGACCCATCTAGTGCTGACGGGTCCGAGAAATCGGCCGCTGCGACAACGAATCATTCGGGCGATCACCGATCTCGCGCCCCGGGTCCTCTCACATGTGCCGGGGGCTTTTCTCTACCCCTCCTTTCTCCAGCACCACTTCAATGAAGTGGAAGTGCCAACCAACTTGGCCGTGCTCGCGGCGTTTCTGCCTCCTCTTCCCCCCCCTCTCAATCCGGAGATTGATTACTTCCTATGATCATCTCCACCACCACCACCTCTTTCTTTTTCTTCTTCTTTTCCGGATCTAAAGCTTGCGCGATGATACACGCTGTATATAAAAAAACAAATAAATAAACTAAAAAAAAATAAAATTATTTTTACTTACCGATCGGGCCAGCTGACGATGAAGGGGCCGCCTGATCGAATGTATACTATGGGAGGAGGCGATGGAGGATGCAGGATGCACCCACGTAGATTAGGAAGATGATCGGGCCAGCTCACGATGAAGAGGCCGCCCGATCATCCAAGATATGATGACATCAGCAGTCGGAAGACTGCTAATTTTTCGGAACCCCCTGCGTATCACAGATGTGATAAGCTCAGATCCGTACCGCGCGGCTTCCCGTATCCCTGAGGAAAAATCCCACGGAAGCCCCGGAGTACGGACACGGACAGAAAGGGGGTTTTCTTTGTTTCTGCTTTTGTTTTCTTTTTGAAACGGCTTTTTCATTTTGTTTGGTTAATAACTCCCGCGCGGGCGAGTAACGGTCGCGGTATGAAAACCAAGAAATGGGGGCGGTTGGGACTTTTTGAAGTTTTTACGCGCGCACGCCCAAGCTTCGATCTCTTCGCGCGTCTCGCATCCCCGTTTCTTGCTTTGCATCCCCGTGCCATCTTCCCTTCTTTCTGCGCGCATTTTCCCCATGCCGGACTCTTCGTCTTCCCCTCCGCCCAACTCGATGAATGGACACCCCAATCACGTAGGACCATGCCATCCCGCGGGTCGAACCCTCTAACTCCCCACCCCCTCCTGTCCTGCTCATCTACAACCTGCGTTGCCCGCACCTCGCGCTGACAACCCGCCGCCTCCCGCGCTATAAATTTGCGCAACCCTCTCCTCTCTTCCTCTTTGATCTCGGCTGCAATGCTGCACGAGCCATGCGCGAGAGTCCGCGGCGCCGAACAGGCTCGACGAGCCCAAGGACGGGCGGAGTGACGACGTGGGGTGGACCCCCGGTAGTCTCGGGGCGAAGCAGTCGGAGGGACTGAGCAGTGGTGGGGATTGGACGCCGGCCGCGGCAGGGCCTTGTGGCTATGGTGGTCGGTGGTCTTGGGTGGTTTGGGCTGCGCCTGAGGGCGGCAGTTAATTGAAATTTTTGTGTACAAGAAGGACTCGCTTTTATCTCCATTGCTGCTTTGTCTATGCATGTCGTGTGTGTGAAGTCCCGAGTGATGGGAGCTGGTTGTGCGCATGAGTGATGTCGAAGGTCTATGGATGATTAGATGTCCTGTCAAGGGTTGTTGATTGTTTGCATGCATGCGTGTATGTACTTGTCCGGGTGGGGACGGGGAAACTGAACTGGGGGACCGTCTGCCTAGGAGTACGAGTGTGTTGATCCCGTTGTTCCCCTCCCTTCCGCGACCCTTCGCGCGTTCAGAGTGTAAGCGCTCTCTCTCTCTCTCCCTCCCGCCTTCCTTTTTGAGCTTCTCGTCCCCGTACCGGTGACGTCAACCACCTGCGTCCGCGCGCGCGGTCGACGCCCCCGCAAGGAGAAGAGAGCTTCAATTTCGCCATCTTCCTCCGACGCACTAACCGTGAGAGAGAAGGTTGCATCGGGTGTTGTATGGAGTCGATGTTGGTTTGGATGACCGGGAGCGCGGGATCTTGCCCGTGTTCATCGCCTACCTCCGATCGTCTCATCTGGCTACCGACCTTCCCCATCACAGATGACGACAGCGTCTACTGCGATGCGGACGTACGGCGCGCCCTGAGGCGAACGGAGCAAGTGTGCTGGCGAGACCCGCCTCGGGCTTGTGATATAAGGGGGAACGAGTTTGTCTTGATTAAGCGTTTTGATTCCCCGACTCTAATATTGCCTTATACGGGTTTGACTGTGCTACCCTGGTCGGCCGCTCACGCCGCGTGGCGGCCGCAGTTTGATTGTCGCTGGTGTCGCCAGGGGGACTCGTGTTCTTGGCGACGACTGGTCCTGGGTTACGAGGGAGCGACACGTTTCCCCGAGCTTTCCCGTAGTGCGGGGGCGCTGCCCGCGCAATTTCGAATTTGGACGCCGGCGAGTCCTCCCGCCGCTTCACCCTCTCGGGAACTTCCGCGCGGATTTTGCGAGTCCGACGCCGAGGCGTGAAGGCCTCGAACCAACCACCTCTACAGCAACAACCCGACGGTCTGGTCACTTCGTGAGGCCGATGACGAGGCCTGAAGGCTTCGAACCCCCTACCTATCCCCCTAACCCACGACGGCCGGAGTTTCTGTTTTCCGCCGCCATGGCCCTTTCCCCTTGATGCCTTTTCCCGTCCTGATACACGGCGGCAGTTCGTTTTTGCGGAAAC